AAAAAAAAAAAAGAGAGAGAGACAGCTCTTTCTGCAAGACAAGGCCACAATTTGTCGCAACCCCCAATATCTTTCCACTCAGGAGTTTCGTACATCTCTGAGTTGGCTGCCTGCCGGTAGCCAAACAGCTCCAGATATCACCATAATTGAATTGCGGCTTTAGGCATTCTGTTATGAATGTTTACTGATGTATCCGGCCAATCAAAAGCTTGCGGATGCCCTCCGGGTATCCGCTTGTGAACTCTATCTTATGTACCGTTTCGATTCCCAACGGGGACTCTGTTACAGTGCTTGCGGTTTGTTGTTTGTCTGGGCATGGAGTGCTCCGAAGGGTGTCTCCGTTGGAGCTGTCGAACCCTGTTGAAGACTCGACTTTTTACAGTACTCAGCTCAGGTTTTCCCTATCCTGGGTAGGAAGGCCATGCTAGAGGCGCCATTATCATCCAATGATACCAAGCGACGCATGTTGGTAACCTGATGAGACGAGGTTTCGCATATCGTCCGTTTAAGCTGAGTGGTCCTTCCAGTCTGAATGATCCCAGTACATACACCTGGCCTTGCTTGGTTGCACCCCCTCTTGCGTTACAAGATTGACTTCCACTTTGCATCTGCCTTTACCAGGGTTATTTACGACGGAGGATCAGGTTCACAGATCTTGGTCCAATACAAACTCAGTATTTCCCCAACTTCATCAATACGACCTCGATCTGAAGACAAATCTTGACAGCCCTCCGGTGGTTTTGCTCCGGATTGTCAAGATCTACGGACTTCTTGGAACCCTGAAGTTGGAACAATCAGGGTCCCTCCACCTTTGAGATACCTACTCTTCTGAGAAGACTTTTTCGTTCTTGAAGAATGGTTTGCATATGGCACTTACGTCGTTGACCATTGACGTCACCAAGTCTCGTCCCTGCTCAATGCTGCTGTCTGTGCTCAGACGCAAAACAATGTCTCGGTTGACTAGGCTGAGAGAACCTTCAGGAGTACTGGTAATTACTACCATGGACCGATTCCACGGCTGTAGTAAAGTCGTTGTTCAGTCGGATCTGGTACCTTACCCGGATGCGACAGGGACTTATTTCATGCCTGACAGGGCTCAGCGAACATGTCTAGGGTAATGAGCTATGGGCCGTTTCTACATGAAGTGACAGGCCTCTGTGCCATGTTACTCCTTCTATTTGACTGATGACGCAATCGTCCAGACCACAGCATGAGTTCTTGATACGGTACTAGGGAGCATAGACATAATCTCTCACCATGTAAGGGGAATTCGATGTCCAAGTAACCAAATTGGGCATCGAGATGGATAGGACTGGCTTCAGGTTCAACACCAGCCAAAGGAAGGGAGGGGGAAGAAAAAAAAAACCGAAACGGTCGCTGGCTCCGTTGAGCGTTGTGTTGCCTTGGATGCTGGCGGCCGTTTCATTCCAAGATGGGGAATTGGTTCAGAGACTCCTTCGGGATGGCCATAGGAAAGTTTCGAGATCTGACCATCGGCGCTTGTAGTCAGGTTGATCTGTTGATGGAGATAGAGGGTCTTCCAGAAAACCAGGCCTGTGCAGGCTCTGTTCGGTCAGCGCAGGGGAAGGTACTGTACGCAGATGACCGAAAGTCAAGAGCGCTGTAGCAGCCAAGTTCCTTGGTTGCTGAATGAATCTCAGCCAGGGTTCTGTTTCCCTGGTCAGCGGGGGGGCATGATCAATGGCGGCAGTGAAAGCGCATCGGTTCTCACTGAGCGCGATCGAAGCATCGGAGGGGATCGAGTCAACGACGCGCAGTAAAGATCTTGAGACGGGAGGGGAATCGGGTCCTTTTGGGCTTCTTGCTGTCGCCCTGGGTGGAGCACGCTTGGTGTCGGATGCCCTGGCAGGCCAGCCTCATCGGTCCCGTCCGCGTGGCTCTAGAGGGTCCCGCCGCCTCAGCGACAGAGGGGCTTTGAGACAGAATTTCAAGGGTATTGGGGCTTTTGTGGGCGCAACAGGGGGGGCGTGTAGACACGGCGCCGGAGAAGAGGGCCCGGAGAGAACAAGGGGCTCGTCTAAGCTATGGACCCCGGCGATCATTCTCTTACTGCGCAGACTAAGCACCTCTACAGTGGTCCAGCGAAGCACACATGGCAGGCAGGGGGCCACTTCCAGCTTAGGTTCCAGGATAGGATGGCTAGTGGAGAGAAGGGGATTTAGGGGACCTCGCCTGTGACGCCGCTGAACCATGATGTGATGCCGTGCCCTCTCTCGCTTGTTTAGGCCCTTCTGCTCGGGACGTCCAACATCACCTGGGCCAATGACAGCGCTTGCTCGAGATTATTCTTCGTTCTTCGGGGATGGATTGTCAGGCACAAGCGGCAACCAGCCGTACGCCAAACCAGTCGCCCGGAGCCAGGCGGCGAGCCGACGGCCTGAGCCAGTGGGAGCAAGTCCGGGCATTGCTAGGGTCTGCTTGGTTGCTGGCAATCTCATCAAATTCAACTGAACATTGCCGATGCTACTCGGGGTCTTGTTCTTTGATGTTCTCTGGGGTCATGCAAGTGCGTGCCAGGTCAGGTTATCACCGCCTTTCTGTGATAACTTCTCACTTCGATCCGCTTCGCCGCGCGTCGTTCTTCCTGATTCTGCCCCGGAATTCCCGGGGCATGGGCTTTGTGGAATCTCGTCTGTTCATCGGACATATTGTCTTTCTTCACTCTTCTGTGTAGTAGAGTTGTTCTCCATCTTTTTTCAACATTCAACCCGTACCAGAATGTGGTACAGTATCCCTATGGTAACCCGTCATACCCATTTGATCACGCATGCCCTCAATCTCTTCAATGCTGGACGTTGCAAGCACTGCGCAGTCATAGTGAGCCCGTGTTCCAGTTGTCGTATTTCCTTTTCTATGTTGCTGTCCTACCATGTTTTGCTGATTGCTACAAGGGGGCTAGCCCGCGAGCAGCAAGAGCCCTTGTTCGAAATCGGATACGCGGGGTTCGCAAACTACCACGCCAATGTCTTCTTCTACCAGTGGGTAGCTCCTGTTCGCAATGCAACAGTCTGCGGAAGGCCATGCTCTTCTTGACCAACCTAAACCATAGCTTCATGGTGTTAGTCTGCGTCAAAGAACTGGAAGAGAAGAACCTGACAACCTCGTGCCTCATTATCATATCCACAATCTCTCGGGGTGTCGATGATCTTGCTATGGTATGAGCCCTAGCGGTTAGTTACAATTGTCAGCAGGTGAAGGTAATCAGGGTCAATCTCTACAGTATCAAGGGGTGGGTTGATCCAGGCATTGAAATCGATCGATTTTGTCAACTCTGCCCAGCATTCGCCGTGCCAACTTTGCTTATTCCAGCGAGTGACAGTGCAATGCAATTTGTATATTGAGATACAGTACCTGTACGCTTGCAAGTTGCACGTACGCAGTGACAAGACGGTATTCTCACATCTCGATACCCTGAAACAAGTGTTTCTGGCGGTGTAAAGGGACTACCCTTGTTGGAAGAACAGCAGGGTTCCGGTACAGTACAGTACTTGCCGTTGACGACAACCAGGAATATGGATGCTGCACCATAGCGGGCTGAAGCCTAGATAACACATGTTACCCTGTAACTGCAACGCAGCCGAATCTATCAAGGCAGCCGGCTAACCATATGCTTACTTTACACTACCCAACCGTAATACCAACATTTCAACGTCTCGGAACCTAGGAATGAATCCCTAGTGCGGCTGGAAACACAAAGGGCTTCTCGTGATGCGGCATAGAATCCTTTGAAAAAGAAAAAGAGACCAATATGCTGCGACCATGTTTCCGTTTGACAGGTCACGCTGATGGGAAATTCGATGATCGCTGTCGATCGATCGAGATTTGTGATTTATATGCTCTCTCTAAATTACCCCGGTTCTGGACTAACCTACATTATACGGATACTACTACCTCAGCCGTCCACTTACTTGCTAGACCCAGGTATGTATCAACCCAGCAACTCTGGCTTGTGTGCGAAACTTTGACAAAGCCTGTTTTTATTAACCACATCAGGCCCAGTTCTCTGTATAATCAGTCAATGCATTTCAGAACTACCATCGAATTTGAGCTACTGAAGTTCGACCAATTTACTTTTCCATCCTTCCCCGCTCTTGAGATTCGCGGGATCTCTCTCCCTGAAACGCCTTGTTCGCCGGACACCCGCCTTGGGAAAAATTATAATTGCTCTTTCTGGTACTCTTGTTGTTGTTGCTTGGTGTAGCTTTAGCTATTGCTGGCGTCGTATTGTGATATGTGCAAGCTGGGTTCAGCACCAGCTCCACGAATGAAAAAGCTGATGCGATACATACATCATCGGCGATGATCGCGATGATGCAAATGTCAAATTTCCCATGCTGTTTGGGTGCTTTCCCATGACAATCCGGACCCAACATCCACTTCCACAGTACAATACTGTCATATGTCGTGTCGTACCGTACTTTACTGTACTGCACCGTACTATCCCTGGAAAGATGATGAAATTCTGCTTGATTATTTCGCCGTTGAGGAACCTGATTTGGTCGATCCTGTATCGACTCGCTTGGCTGCGGGAAGGTCTGGTACCTTGAACCCGTTGCCGTTCGACGATCCTCCAACTTGAGTAAAGGTACCGCCCTTGAACCATCTGTCCTCCTCCGCCTTGCGCTTCTTGCTGAGCTCTGCCTGCATCTTGGGATCCACGAGTTCCAGACCCTGGACGGGGGTAAACGCCAGAGATGACGCTGTACCCGTCGCTGATCCAACTGTACTGCCGACACCAGAAGCTCGCAAGCCACGCCCTCTGAGATCAATGTTGGATGCTTGACCAAAACCACCGATAGACGAGGCAGCACCACCCGCGGTGCTGTTTCCACCCCATCCCTTGCTTTTAGCACCCAGTTTGGCGCGTGTACGTTGGTCGATCTGGGTACCGCGAATACGCCCGTCGTTTGACTGTCCGATCATGCCCATACCAACAGTAGATTCGCCAGTGCCATAACCGACCTCGCTCTCCTCCTTGCCAAAGGCCATGCGGTTCTGCTGTTTACGAAGATCTGTCATGGCGAGTGCCTCCTTTGCCTTACGGGCACGTCGTCCACCTCGCTTGCGCGATGGCTTGTCGTCTGGTACCGGAAGAGCACGTTGACCCTTGTTGGGAGGTGCTTCTGTCAACTTCTCAAGGCGCTCGAGGCATGCCGATTTGAGCTCCTCTCCTGTAGACCCGTCGGGGCTTGAATGTATACGATCAACTCGGGCAGCTAGGACTAGCTTAGCTGATACGATTCTCTGCGCCTGCTTTCTCAGGTCGCTAGGGATATCCTGAATCATTTTTGAGTTGAAGAGGTAACCTTGCTGCCGAACACCGATATTTGTAGCCAGTCCCGCTTGCTTCTTCTTAGACCCCCAGTTGGCGATATTGCAAGCAGGCGTCTTTGAAAGACCTGTGAGCCCACCTGCTGCGTTGAGAAGCTGGGCAGCTGTAAGGGAACCGATGAGAGCAGTCAAATTGGGCGCAAAGATATTCATGCGTGACTGAACATACTCTGCCAACGTCTGCTTGGCTTGGAAAAGAGATACAACCATCTCGCACGCTTTGTAAACGCGCTGAAGCTCCTCTGCGGTCATCTCATGACCTTTGGACGTCGTGGCCTCGACTGTCACAATCATGAGTGAGGGTCCATCGAGGACAGACTTGAGAGTTATTCCCATAGGGTTGTCGGTTGAAGTTTGTAGAGCTTTGATACTCTCCGAGTCCAACGGCCCGTTTCCTATGATAGTGACGACCTTGGCATACTCGAGTGGTGTTGTGACCAGCCGTTCAAGTTCGGGGAATCGTGTCGAGTAGTGATCACGGATGAATTTGTGGACGACGGCAACCTCTCCGTCAATCTGGGTCGAAAGACTGTTCGACTGTGTCAAGAGATGGTATTCGGGATGATCTTCGATGTTTCCAATGTTGGTGTTTTGCGTCGCGGCTTGCGATCGAAAGTGTGCGATTTTCTGTAGCGTTCGAGGTAATACGTCAGGACTATCCCGCCAAACCAACTGATGTAAACGAATCGTCCCTAAAGACGCGACCGTTGAAGCAATAAAAGGGGAGTTAATACTAACCTCAAGAACTGGTTCCAGTGTCTGCATCAAGCTGGCCACGCTTCGAACATCTTTGACTCCTCCAAGCTGCATCTTCTCAACCTTGACTTTTGTCGCCTCAGAGTCTTCCATGTCGCTCAGTCCGGCATCGGATTCATCGCCGCCCTTTGTTGCGGCGTCTCCGTCTACTTCCATTGCATCGCGATCGCCTTCGCGATCACCAGTAGCCTCTTGATCTTTGACAAGACCATCGTTCTGCTCCTCTTCAGCTTCGTCGCCTGAGTCTGCAAAGTCCAGGAGCAGATCATCTGCGTCGTTCGACATGATGGCGGCGTGTATCAGAGAGGATGATGTGGATGAACAAAAGTGATTGTCGCGAAGTAAATCATGGAGTAGCTAAATATTTGCCTTAACCAGGCAGGCTGTGAGGCTTAGACTACCTATGAGCGCCACACCACATACAGTCGAATTTGTGGAGCAGATGCAGCAATACTCGTTTTTCATTTGCTAGGCTCAGCTCCAGTAGTCTACGTTGGTACTAAACCCTCTGCGAACTGTACCTGAATTTTTGAGCCTTGCTTGTCGCGTCGCTGTTGACCTCAACTTTATCCATCCATCCACCCTAGTCAACTGTCATTCTTTCTCAACCTCCTTCTTCGCCCAACTTAACTTTGCATCAGCGGCACTGTCTTCAACACCCGATTGACCAAAGCTGTACAGTACAAGATGGAGTCATCTAGGGGGCCCCCAAGGGTCAAGAACAAGGCCGCTGCGCCTGTTCAGATCAGCGCCGAGCAGCTTTTACGAGAAGCTGTTGACCGGCAAGAAGTTGGAGTTCAAGCGCCCACTCAGCGCTTCGCTGATTTGGAAGAGCTTCACGAATACCAAGGAAGGAAGAGAAAGGAGTTCGAGGACTATGTGCGACGAAACAGACTCAATATGAACAACTGGATGCGCTATGCGCAATGGGAGCTCGAGCAGAAGGAGTTCAAGCGCGCCGAGTCTATCTTTGAGCGCGCTCTCGATGCCCACCCCAATAATGTCCAGCTGTGGGTTCGTTATATTGAGTCAGAGATGAAATCGAGAAACATCAACCATGCGCGGAACCTACTAGACAGAGCCGTGGCACGCTTGCCACGAGTCGACAAGATCTGGTACAAATATGTGTACATGGAGGAGATGCTGGGCAACATTCCCGGTACACGTCAAGTCTTTGATCGATGGATGCAATGGAGGCCAGACGAGGCCGCATGGAGTTCCTACATCAAGCTGGAGAAGCGATACGGCGAATTCGAACGAGCACGAGAGATCTTTCGCACTTTTACCATGGTCCATCCTCACGCCCGGAACTGGATCAAATGGGCCAAATTCGAAGAGGAATACGGCACTAGCGATCAGGTTCGGGAAGTATTCGGCGAAGCACTCGAGACACTGCAGGCGCTGGGTGACGAATTTGTCGACGAGAAATTGTTCATTGCCTATGCTCGATTCGAGGCCAAGCTAAAAGAGTATGAGCGCGCTCGAGCGATATACAAGTACGCCGAGAAGCTTTTACCGAAATCCAAGTCGATGATTCTCCATAAGGCTTACACAACCTTCGAGAAGCAATTCGGCGATAAGGATGGGGTAGAGGACGTTGTTCTGTCCAAGAGAAGAGGGCATTACGAAGAACTAATCAAAGAAAACCCCAAGAACTACGATGCTTGGTTCGACTACGCAAAGCTCGAGGAAACTTCTCAAGACTCGGACCGAATCCGAGACGTATACGAGAGAGCAGTTGCTCAGGTTCCCCCGACACAGGAGAAGCGACATTGGAGACGATACATCTATCTATGGATTTTCTACGCCATATGGGAAGAGATGGAAGGCCGGGATATAGAGCGGACAAGGCAGATCTACAGCACATGCTTAGGTCTGATCCCACACAAGCGGTTTACATTTGCTAAAATCTGGCTGATGGCGGCACAATTTGAGATTCGACAGGGCGAACTTACTGCGGCGCGAAAGCTTCTCGGACGTGCCATCGGCATGTGCCCCAAGGACAAGATCTTCAATGGCTACGTCGATTTGGAGCGCAAGTTGTTTGAGTTCGTGCGTTGCCGTACCCTCTACGAGAAGCATATCGAATTCAACCCTGCCAACTGCCAGACCTGGATCAAGTTCGCGGAGTTGGAGCGTGGTTTGGATGATCTGGATCGCACACGCGCCATCTTTGAGCTTGCAGTTCGGCAACAACAGCTTGATATGCCCGAACTGCTGTGGAAAGCATACATCGATTTCGAGGAGGAAGAAGGCGAATATGAGAACACACGGGAGTTGTACGAGCGTCTTCTGGAGAAAACGGATCACGTCAAGGTCTGGATCAGCTACGCACACTTCGAAATCAACATCCCCGAAGGAGACGAAGAAGAAGGAGACGAGGAGCAGCCAGTCAGCGAAGAAGCCAAGGCAAGGGCACGCAAGGTATTCACGCGCGCGCACAAGAGCATGCGAGACCGGGACCTCAAGGAAGAATGCGTGTCACTCCTTAACGCCTGGTTATCGTTCGAGCGTACTCATGGCTCTGCAGAGGATGTCGAGGCGGTGCAGAAACAGATGCCACGCAAGACCACGAGACGGCGAAAGCTCGACGATGACTCGTGGGAGGAGTACATTGACTACGTCTTCCCTGCCGACGACAAGCAAGCAGCCAATTTCTCCAACCTTTTCTCCAAGGCGCAGAGCTGGAAGCAGGCAGGAGGAGCGCTCGACGCATGAGAGCATACTTGAAGACATCGCAGATAGAGGAAGCAAGCAGATACTGGTACCCTTACGCTCATCCATAAATAATGATAGTACCAGTACCACCTTGCCTGGATCATGCGTCTCTCAAACTATTATACTTATCTGCCTACGAGCATAATATTATCAAAGTTTATCCTCGATATTCATTTCATATCGTGACCAAACAAGACGGTCCCTTAACTCACAGAATCGGCACGGAGTTGACTTTTCTCACTATTCGACTTCCCTAAGAAGCGGATTACATTGCACATATAAATGAATGCCTTGTGACTGAATTATCGAACACTAGGTAGATTCATAAACATGCGTCCATCGTACGTGGATACTTAGCTTGACGTCATAGTACGATGACGTCTTGGCACAAATTTAGCTCTAAAACTAGAACCAAGGTCAAGTACGAATAAGCCAGGGCACTTCGTGGGGGGAAGGTGCCAGGGTACATATCTGATATCGTACTATGCAATGAGCGGCAGGTACGGACACAGGAGAAGGACAAGACCCGCCCCAAGAAAAGAAAAAGTGAAGCTTACTGGATGTTTCACTTTTGTTCTAGTCGAATCATATCGTGCCGCGTTGTTATCATGCGAGATCGATTAGGACAGCATCTTCGCCCAAGAATCAAGAAGAGGAAAAAAGCATTTTCATAAGCCAGGCTTGTTCATTATAGATCATGATTCGTCAAGATGTCATAGGTCCTAGGCCGGACAGATCCAACCCAAGTACCATATTTCGTATCCAGAGTAACATATCGAAAATCCGCGACAAAAGAAAATAATAAAGGAAAACCATCATATATCCATATCCATCTCCATCATGTCATATCGTTTCGTTGCCCACATCCCGTCAGGAGACACCTGTCTTACCTCTTTTTTCCCAGGCTCATTCCCGATCTCGTTGCACTTTGTCCAATCGCCGAGACTTGATCTGCAACACCCCCCAAAAAAGCCGTTCTTCCCGAGGCCGGGTAGCCGCGTTCCCACCTGTCATCATCGTGCATACAGTGACTTTCCGTCACCAGATTCACTTCCCTGCCCATCGCATCTCGTTGGGTCAACGTAGCTCTCCCGCTCAAGTTCCTCAATTCTAGGGTCCTTCTAGACCCTAATCACTTCTGTAGTGGAACGCGACCATGCTTCTTGTCGTTGGACGGTATCCATGCATGTGCCGGTCTGCCGGGATATGGCTCCGAGGCCTGCTTTTTTCGTTTTCAGGACAGGCTGCTTACCCCATGGGGGCATGGGCTTTCGCCTATATCTGCAGAAATCGAGCCACTGGCTCAATATCGGCGATGGTCTAATGCAATCATCGTCGTTAGTCTTTGTCTTGAATACACGTGTGAAACAAATGTGGGCATGGTTGAGGGGAGAAAGCAAGTGTGCTTCATCTATCTGATGCATCAGAGGGGTCTTAGCAGCAAAACAACCGCTACACCACACAGCGCCGTAGGTCATATTCGCACCCAATTTCCTTCTCTTCCCAAATTTCCCTGTTTTGTTTCCAATTGCCAATTGTCCAATAAAACTTCTGTATGTTGGGCTCAAGGTTTAGCATGAGCCATAGTCGTCTCGTCATAAGTCATAAGTCATAAGTTTATGTGCTGTAATGTTTTGCGAGAAAAGAGATGCTTTGCAGGTTCAACAGAGTGCTCAATAGGGAGACGGCAACCCATTGGGATTCCTCCTGTATGTGTCCGTCCCATATGGTTCTGCAGGGAAAGTGTTGCCTCTGTAGGGTTTGCCTCCGTAATCTCGGGGGTCAAAGTATTCATACTCGATATCCGAGTCGTACCCGTCAACCCTCCGAGACGAAGGAGCCCAGCTGTCGGCTCTTCTCCGGCCATCGTCCGTTGATTGTTGTCTCATACGTCGTTGCATTCGTTTCTCATGACGACGAGCTTTCTCTTGGTTGAACTGCTTGCACTCTTTTGTCAAGTCCTTGGCTTCCTTCATCTCAGACAGAGCTCCCTTGATACCCATAGCAGCAATACCCACTGATGCGGCGTCTTGCATAATCGCTTTGGTCTTGAGTTTCTTGGCATCAATTTCGCTCAGTCGTCCCTCTTTGACGGCCTTGTGTCTGGCATTCCGTTTTTCCATACTAGAATAGACCTCGTGCGCTGCATGAATGGTGGCCACGGCTGCTAAGCCTGTGGTGACAATTTGCTTACCTCTCATTTTCTTTGCTCGCTGCTCGTCTTCGTCAGAATCTCCGATATCCGATGATGAAGAGGAGTATTCAGAACGTCCTCCTCGTCGTCTTTCCCTGGGCTTCTCACGGTAGGACCGGTCGTCCTCGTAATAGTCTCGGTTGTTGCCATATCGTCGGTCATCGTACATATCATCCGAGTATCGGCGGGAGCGACTGGCACCACGTTCGCTAAAGTCATCTTGATCGCGGCGTCGCTGGTAATCATCCGCAGCAGCTGTACCAGCTCCAGCCCCAAGACCAAGCTTAGCCAGGCCATTGCGAGCCTTGTCGACAACGCTGCGGCTTCGGCTGCGCTGACGACGTCGGTCCGGGGAAGGACTGTATGAGGTGCTTCTTCCCCTTCCTCTTACACTGCGGCTCCTGGATCGTGATCTTGACCGATCCAAAACCTTCTTCGCGCCGAGGGCACCCAGACCAGCCGTCGCCAGAGCAGCGAGACCACTTGCTCCGCCAGAGCCTCCACCCTGGGATTTGGATCGAGCGCGCGAGCGGGAGCGGCTACGACCAGTCTTGCGGTCCTCTTCGATGTCGTTCCTTGAGCCGTTGATCAAACGGTTGCCGACCAAGCCGCCGATGACAGCTTCTGCGAGACCCCGCTTTCCGCCTTTGTCGTCAGTTGCTGTATCGACAGCAGCGGCACCAGCAGCAGCGGTAAGGATGCGTTTGGTCTTCTCGCCCTTCCAGCCACCAGGCTCCTTGGCAACGCGGAAGGCCTCTGTGGCACCAGCGAGAAGAGACGCCATAGCAGCCTTCTGGACCTTGTTCGCACCGCTGTTGGCGCCAGCGTGTGAGCGTGACCGCTCACTGGAGGGGCTGCCTCCGCGGCGGCTCCTGGTGTCGTCAGAGCCGCCACCGGTAAGACTCTTGACAGCAGCGCTAAGACCAGTAGCTGCAATGGCACTCTCAAGGAAGTTTTTATGACCCTTCTTCTCTTTTGGGCCTTCATCTTCATCCGAGTAATAATCGCTGTAGTAACCGTCACGGCCTCGTTGAAGAATCATATTGGCCTTTTGATCCTTCTTGGCCTGCTGCTTGTTGTAGAATTGAGCACCCTGGTAAGCAGCTAGAGCACCAACTCCAGCTAAAGCTGCGGTTGAGAGAGGGTTGCGTTGGACTTCGGTGCGCTCCTCTTTGGCTTCACGACGATCGTACAGCTCCTTACCACCGGCCAAAAGGGCGGCACCAGCAACGGCTGCAATGATCTTCTCGTTCTTTGACATTCCCTTGGACTTGGGCTTGCGCTCTTCATCTTCGTAGTAGGGGCTAGAGTGTCCTCGGTGAGAACGGCGATCATAGTCGCGGTCGCGGTCGCGAGGGTCATAACCTCGACGATACTCGTATTCTTCTTCGTAGTAATTTGGTCCGGCGGATCTAGCACGACGGATATCGCGGGTGCCGGGCGGGGGGAATTCCCGTCGAACCTCCTCTATCGACAGATCACTATCCTCGCGCCCGCGAGGAACAATTTCGCGATGGGACTTGGTGCTAAAAGAATCTCGCGGATCAAGGTAACGGGGCTCTTCTCGACGATCCTCCCGCACATAGCGGCGAGAGTAATCCCGATCATACGGGTCGTAGTTGGCCATTAGTACGGTGTGTGTGATTTCTTTGTTGTCGCTATGCTCTAGTGGTGATGTAATGGTCGATTTATGGTATATAGTTGATATTGGTGATGAATGGTGTTGGGTGTAGTTAATGCAGAGTTGTAAGATTCTGGCAATGCAAGGAAGAAAAGGAAAGATGATGGATGTGGCGGGAGGAGCAGATCAAGAAAAGCACTTGGCAAGAGAAGCCCAGCCACAGCCAAGGGCACGTCCAAGCAAAACAGGGTCCTTTGGGATTGCAACAAGGGTGAGAAGGCACTGCACCTGTGCGCCTGCCTTAGTACTGTAGGACTCAGTCGACTGGATGGGCGGAACGGGAACGAGAACAGAAAGTGGGCTAGAGACAGCAAGAGCAGACTGCTAGTGGACAAAGCCACACTTGCTTTACTTTAGTTTGGTGGATGGATGGGCATCAATGGGATACGGAAGGCAGCAACAGAAGCAGTCGGGTGGCTTCCTTGACCCATGCCTTAGTAGGTATCCTTGGACGTATGTAGGTGATTTTTGACGCAACTTTAAGAGCCTTGGAAGCGATTCTGGTTAGGCTGCGTTACAGTAGCTCAGGCTGTCTTGACTGGGCGTTGGTTGTTTTACTATGATGATCAGGCTAATTTTTTACGGTAGTCCGCGCTCTTTCCCTTTTTCCTTTCTTTTCCCTTGCCGCTTCTTTCCTTTCTCTCACAGACATAAGGTATCTAAAAGGTAAGCTGAGGTAAAGCGGGCAGTTACGTATAAGCGGGGCGGGACCAACGACGTAATGAAGAGGGGTTCGCGGGAAGTTGGACGCACAGCGCTGACGCTATTAGACAGGGGTCTATGCCTTGCAAGGTCCACTAGAAGGTCTTGGACGTGCTGGGCGCGGCATTCGACAGCCAGCTGGGCATTCAGTATAGCCCAGTATGGAGACGTTTGAATTGTTTCTCCCGTCTTTATCAGCAACTGCGCCACAGCTATCGTGCATATAACTATTCCACTTCAACTACAGTATCATCCGTCTCAACGCCCGGCAACACCGAACGCGATAGAGTCAACAGGAAGTGACGTTGGTAGGGGCTTTTCTCCGCTCTCTTGCGGTAGTTGGCATTGGCAATTGACCGGGTCATCGGACGCTCCGTGTCTTCGGATTCGGTTCTGCTCTGTTGATTTGTTGTCAACCACTCAAAGGTCAACTGTTCAGAGCCTTACTCTGTCCCGGCCATGGCAATTGGCTTTCTCCCCAAATCACACTCTAAACAGCAGTGATCATCTTGAAACGACGGCTCACAAGTCGTTCCTCGGAGTGATAGGCCGTTTGTGAAACCTCGCACAAGGGAGGATGCCTGCATATCCAGGATCCTCGATTAGGTGCTTGTCCTAGTTCTGGGACCGATTTTGCCACTCTTGATGAGTTGTCAGTTGTTCTCTTCTAGAAGCATTTGTCACCTGTGTGATACTCGGACTAGGCAGACTAGACAAGCCGGGCGGGAAGTTAGACTATCCAATCGCCTGTTTTCCTTCGCACCGAAGTAAACTTTGACTGATGTGACGCCTACAACATGTGACGCAACAAACGGTGCCTGCTGATGATAGTTCATGACCCGTTTAGCCACGTTTTTGTGCCATCAGCCACGCCGTTCAATAGAAACATGGTGTCTGAAGCATACATATGTACAGTATCGTGTTCATCAATTATCCATCACAAGGCCCATATTTTCTACAATTGTTGATCAGGGTCTGACTGTGAGGTTGCAATGACGTCTCTATTACGAGACTAAGCGAGGTTGAATCAACGGGCCACTAGGCGTACTGTAGTACTGTAACTATGATTCAGCCTTATGGTCAATGACTCGGCAGTTGCTCAATGATATCAAAATGGTTATTTTGTGCTTTCAAGTATCTTCTTTGCAACCGACCACAGCAGAAGTACGTTTCCCTCTGTTCAGAATACAGTTCTTGCTTGGATGAGGTAAGAATTGAAATTGATGATAACACGCTATTTGTATGCCAAAATCCATATTGGATAAACCAATTCCGTACCAATACCACTCTAGAGTCTAAGAAACAATATCCTATACATGCTTTATCAATGTTACATGACCCAAACAACCTAAACCCGAACTATTAGATCCTTCTCCTGAAAATTCCCAAACTCCGTCAAAAAGAAATCGTATCCCGCGGTTTTCTCGGTGTAAAACAACCTTAAATGCAAAAGTCTAGTAGTACAAATCCTGATGGCTTTTGTTCGTAAATCATGCGTCTTCAGAGGTCTTGCTCTGAGGTTGGTCCATATCGCCTGTGTGCTGAGTCTCATCAGCGCCGACACCGTAGTCGGTGGGATCGGCCTCCTCATCCATCTTGTCCATCTGTTCGGGCTCAACAAGGGCGTACTTGCTCTTCTTACGGATGCTAGCGCCATACCAGAAGAATACAAATGGGATGAAAGCGAGCAGAGTTGCAACCCCTCCAATGAGGGAGCCTCCGCCACCAACACCAAGAGCAGTAAACATTTGAGTCGTGAACAGGGGAGCAGCAGCACTACCAGCGGATCGGGCAACAGTGTTGGCGGCGATGACAGAGGCTGCATACGAGGCGTATGTATCGGTGAGGTAGTTGATAACGGCAACGTAAACAAGCATCAGAGCGGCAGAAAGAAATGTGCCTGCCAGAGTAGGAACAATCCAGGGAACAACACTGCTTGGTATTAGTAGCTGTTGTTTGCTGAGGACATTGGGAGAAACTTACTTGAAATTAGCTGACCACGCAAGCCAGAACATAGTGATGGGGAAGGCAACACCTCCAAACATGGCCATGAGAAGTCGATCCTCTGGCAAGAGAACCTTTCCAGCAGCATCTTTGCTTCGTCGACGCTCACTATCGACAAAGATGACAATGGCTCCGAGAACAGCTCCCACGACCTGGCCAAGAAGAGGCAGCTGCGAAACGCCAGCGTTCCAGCCCCTCATGTCTCGAAAAACAATAGGGTAAATGCTGAAAAGCATGAACTGAAGAGTGAAGACGATGCAGGTGTAGATGGAGCATAAGAGAGAAATCAGGTCGAACATGAGAATCCAGGGCCGCGTAAGAGCAAGTTTGTAGACGTGAGCTAGGCTGGGCGCATCCTCTTCGCCTTCCATAACAGCATTCTCATATCCCTTGATGCCAGACTTTCGAGCTCGCTTGGACTTCTTGGCCAAGATAGTGGGCGTATGTGTCTCGGGAATCAGAAACATGAGGAAAACGGTGACGGCTCCAAGCCAAAGAACAGAGTACATGCCCCATCGCCAGTCTTTCTTGAGCTGAACAAAGCCGGAGACAACAGGACCTAGAGAAGGTCCCACCCAAGAGGCCAGACTGAAGATTCCAGTAGCGTTTCCTCGCTCGATGGGGTCCCAGAGATCGACCAGGACTCCGGGGGTGGTGCTTAACGGAGCAGAGATGAAGACACCCGCTAGGAATCTTCCGACGAGGAGTGATCCAAAGTTTGGTGGGAAAGCGCAGAGAAAGTTGAAGGCCATGTAGGCGATAAAAGTGATGTAGAAGATCCATCGACGACCATAAAACTCAGAAAGAGGTGCAAAGACAAAGGGCCCAGCACAGAAACCAAGAAGGAACATGGACGTCGTCAAGCTCGCAGCGACGGTTGAAACTCCAAACTCTTCCACAACAGAATCGACGCTTCCCGAGAAAATGCTTGATGCAAAGTTTCCGTTCATGGCAAGAAAAACAGCAAGACATGTAATAACCCATCGCCGTGTCTTGGACCAATTTCGTGGGTTCTCGAGGTCATCGGGAGAGAAGTCGACATAACCCTGTTCGTTGATGTAGGGAGCTTCGTGTCTGTCGGAGCCGATATCAGGCTTGAAAGTCACATAGGACATGACCCTGTCCATTGTTTGAGCGGCCATCTTTGTGACTCTTTTGCTCCCGTAGGACTGGGAAGATGGTGGTGAGACAGGAGGATGAGGAGGATGAGAAGAAGAAGAGATGCCGGTGTTGTAGTGCTGTCCAGAGGGATATGCCTGGAGCAATGGCATTGTAGAGGCAGAGCTTCGTCTTTTATTTATATGTGTCGATGATTCTCTCATATTTGCGTTTGGCATCATGATGAAATCGTTTACTTTGCGATTGTGTATGTGTGAGGTGAGTTGAGTTGAGCTATCTCCACCATAGTGGCCTTGGTTGTGTTAAGTTGACGTCAAGTTCTCCAGGTGAGGGTATACCTACCGTGTGCACTGAACCCTTTCCCCCAGACCAACCGGAGGTAAGCTCCGGAATGTGTTTTGGATACCAGATTCAGCTGCTTTTTTCAGTTTCTTTCTCCACGCACAAGTCTGAGCTGAATAGTACAGTACACACAAATGGACTAGAATGTCCGATTGATACTCGCCTCCTAAGCTTTTCATCTCCCCGGACCCATAAAAAAGTATAATATCAAGCTGATCAACGGTCGCTAACTCGACGACTTCTTCACTTGAGAAGACAGGGCAAGTTTATGAGATAATCAGAATCGTAATCAGAGTAACATAGTTGCACTCTAATTGAGTCTCCCTGAACATGATGAGCTGGGGAGGCCGATAAGATGCAAACTCCCGGGCCGAGAAAGTATTCAAGTTCAAACCCTGTATGTAGATCAGTTAGTCAGTGTCAAAGGCCGGACCCACGTGGATATGACACGGCGCCATGGTCAATGACGAATCAGGCGTCTCATATCGAGATTTAGAGTAGAATTTTTATGGAAGCTTCTCTGCAGCAAACGCCCCTGCCAAATGCTAATGGAGGGTGAAGTTGAAGATTCTGCTTCTGCTTCCACTTACACGGGAATAGGATCAATTTTTTCTGATCGTGTCACCGGCCAACTGCCAACACGACACAACGCATGTCGATCTTTGCTGTGATCATGTTGCGATCGTGCATTAAATCTGTCTGACCGGATGTTTTATTCCATACTGTACCTGACTTGAGTGTTACTGTAAGAAAATCAAGGTCAAACCTTCGCCTTGGTTCTTCCTTCTAAAAAATTATTCTCTATCGATTCGCCTCCTTCCCTCCTTCTAAGCCCTGCCAGCCACTTCCCCGCAAACTCATCCCGCAATAAACTAACCACCTACCGGTACTGGACAAGAGGAGCGTCCGCTATTAACTGCCATCTTTATTTCTTTCCCTTCATCAGCGCTTGACGTAATGCCATGTTCACCAAAAGCACAGGCGCTCTGCAGGTCTTGTCCTGATGTTTCCTCTTTAGGCAATTTCTGGGGTCCCCTGCCCCCGAGTCCGGCTTTAACATTCCTGCAAGGCACCGTCTGCCCGTTCTTTTTGGTCTTTTGTTGATGCCCAGTCGGCGATCCATCGGCGTGTAGCACGAGACATACAGATTCTGACGATAGCTTCACTTCTTTTTTTCTTATTTCTTACCCTTCCTTACTTCCTGCAAACATGAGAGCACTTCTGTATTTTGCACCCCCCCTGTGTTTCGGTCACCGGGCCAAATGGCATCATGCGGCGCAGCTTCTCTAACTTGCTTCGACAAGGTCTTGGAACCGTAGACGTGAGATGTGCTCAGTGCTTCACGATGGCCTCACATCCATGCTACAAGGTGATATATCTCACAATCAACCATCGCGATGCTCACTCCCAGCATGAACTCCCCATGACTCACCGGGGCAGAACCTCCGTAGATACGACAATACCCTGGCTCTGATGAGGGTGTAGTATTAATTGTCCAAGGCAAACACCTTTTTTTCTCCACCAAAAATACATACCGCCAAGCCGATCCCTGGCTTGATGATGAGGAGAGGAAAGCTATGCTCCGTGCTCTTTCGGTGAAGGCCGGTATGTATTCCGGTTGTACGCCGAGTGCAGAACATGTCATCGTATAATATTCAAAACACCAATAATACAATGGCGAAAACTGTGGCATTAGAGTGTCACTACGGGCTTACTCCGCATTATCACAAAGCATCCACAACATGGGTATCAATGTTGCATTGTGATGGAGGCTCTTTAGGTAGTTCGGGGACATTCAGTTAGTGTCGTCACGTTATTTCCTGGGTTAGGTGACTTTGCTTGACTGGATGGCAGATCGAATCCTTCTTCACTCAGCTGAGGCTCTGTGACGGGCTCTCATCATTGGTCCATCGTTAAGTACCAAGACATCCATGGATGGATGGAACGGGATGTGAACCAACATCCACTAATACCTAGCTCGCGAGACAAGACAAATCCATCGCCAACTTACCGACTCTGTCTCATCAGTTGTATTGCTATTTCTCAAGATGCAGTCGGTATAAAGTAGCAACAGTATATTGCTTACTGGAAAATATATATGTGGGTCTATACTAGCCTACAGAAATACCCCAGATTCTAGGTCCACCATGGTCTAATACTGATACAAGAGCAAAAAAATCGTCCAAAAACATACAACAGCGGGG